TGCGTACCCAATTTATCATAATCTCTTGAATACTCTTTCGCTCCGCACAGATTCTCGAAACTCTTGTTATAAAGGTTTCGCCAACAATATTTCAACCTCACATAACTTGAATGATTACCATGCTGACCTCGGGTTCTAAGGTTAGCCATATTTGTACCACATTTCTGATTTCTAGTTCATTCATTTAGCTATTTGTACTCTAACATACAGGCACAGCCGAAGTTGGTCCCAGTGAGTGTATACACAACGTTGCCCTCAATCAGAAAAGGGATGCTCAGGGTGCGTTCCTAGCTCGTGTCAAGCTTCCGGTCTTCCCGGGATAACACGAAGCTCGCCCCACAGCTGGCCCCACTTCGGGTCTTCCCGCAATAAATTGCCCCTGGCTCGGAAAATACGAAGTCTGATCGGAAGTTTGACACTAGCCAGGAACGCACCATCAATCTCAATCACACGACGATGAGTTGGAAAATTGGAGAGGCATACACCAAGCCCTCGCCAATTTCACGCCCCGTCAGTCCTTCCTAAAAACCAAATTGACCGTTTTTGGCTATAGGTATCAGACACCCACGAACTAGAGACTATCCGAGGCATTGTAAAGTTACGATGTAGGCCCGTCTGACGTTGAGACCGCAACGCAAAGACTGAATCTTCCACTGCGACCATGTTTCTTTTGTTTTTCCACTGATCATGTGCGTAGTCCCAGTCGTTGCTTTCCTTAAAACCAAACTGTTTGAAACAGCTCTCAAAATCGGGTAATTTTAAAACGAATACACAGGGGTTGTTAATTGGCCATAGTGAAGTTGGCGAGGACTTGGTGTATTGCGATCCACAGCCGGGGTACACACAAAGGGGCTCCCCCGCGAATTTATGTGCCGCGCTGAGTCAGTATGTGCCGTCATTATCCGTTTGTGTCGTCAAAGAATTTATGCATGTAGGGCCGCAAAGAAATCCGCGTGTGGCCTTTTGAAGTGTGGGAGCTTAGGATCATTGACATAAAAGCAGATTGTATAGCCCCTAACGTCTGGGTATGTGATGGATAAACCCAGCAAGCCAGCCCAAAACTCCATTGAACCACCCTCCGTCAAAACAGTCCGTGATCGTGTCAGCAGAGCAAATCAACTGTTGAGATTGAATCAGAACAATAGTCTTGCTGATGTGGACATATCTCAGCCGTCCTCACATTTGTGCCGTATACAGTGTCTCGATCTGTATCGTAGTGGTCGGCTCGATATCCCCACTGGGCCTCCCTCCATGTCCCACAAACCCAGGTAACTTTCAATCTCGACGAGGATTGTGGCTGTCTGTGTCAAACATTTTTTGTTTGTAGTGGTGGTGGTGATGGGATTGAAAATAAATACTGTACATCTCACTACTGTGGATGAAAATTTGACAAAACGTTAGACAACACGGAACGTGTAAACATTGCTCGGTCGCGACAAAGAATGTTGATTTTGGTACTACACTTGATATTCACTGGAGTCCAAGGAAGCTTTCAGGAGCAAGGTAAGCGTGTAGTCGTATAAGCGTTACCAGTTTTAACTGTATTCGAAGAACAGTGGGAAGACTCGATTGTTTTTTTTTTTTTGAAACGGTCAGAAGACAGCGACAATGGTCAAAACAGCGTGCATCGCGTGGGGTTGTAGCGATTGGGCACTTGCCCGTAAAACCCGAGCATTTGACTGTTGGGTGTTTGTTGTTGATTTTGCGAGTATCGTTTGCACGGGGTGCTTGTCAAACTAATGGCCTTTTGACGTACTTTAATGTATGTTTTGTTGTTTCTAGGCCCCATTTTTGCAGGAATCTGTCCCGGATTTTCCTGAATCATCGGGTAATATTGGGCTCACCCCGCTAGGAATATGTCTAAATATTTCGTCTCGGTCCTTTTTTAGGTGAGTTTTTTAGGCTACCGGGTTTCGGGTTTAGCCTGGGGTTGCGGCCTATGGTAGGCAGCTGGGACTTGAGCCATTGGAACGTCTGGGACTCCTCTACCGCAAGGGAGAGCTCTTGATCGTCCCAGGAGAACTCAAAGGCGAGTTTTTTCGCACTCGTCCCTCTTCAGTTGTTGTTTCACTGCATGTTTATGAACGCCTGGGTGATGGTTCATTCATCCAGATTTCAGAACCAGGAACGCACAAATCAACTCAAACCCTGAAAAGGAAGAGTGGCCCAAAACGAAAAGCGATGCTGTCCCAGGTTGTGCAAGGCTCAGCACCACAACCAGCTGGTTGTGCCAGTTGTCTCCTAATTCTGCTCATTGCGGTACGCAAGCCAAGAGATACACCTAACCCAGCCCACCGCTATTTTCAAGGGGAAACCCAGCCCACTAATCTCGCGTTACAAAGTTACCCGGCACGTTTTCGACTATCTCAGTTCGACACTTAGATGACTAGGACTATGAATGATGCCTAATGCTCGAAGTTTAAACTCATTATGCGAATCTGAATCCATAGCGCCACTTCTATAGTACTCTCTTCGGCGATCTGGAACAGACTCTCGCTAAAATTTAATGATGCCCCACACAACCCTCGGTCAAAGATTTAGAAAGGGTGCATACCCCACTTGTGCAAGTGGGGCTTAAAATAGACCGAAAGAAAATAGCGGTGATTAGGTGCATCTCATCTACGCAAAATCTTGTCGGTTATTAATACCTCGCCACTCATGCATCCCTTTGATCGGGCACTTCAACTGTGTGTCCCATGAAATCTCATTTCGATGGGTACACCTGCTCGGCATGCAAAGTCATTCGCAAGTCTACCCGCACTCCCAATCCTTTGTGTTTGTAGATTGTGTTGGAATAGGGGAATAGGGCTGTGTAGTTGCCATTTCTCCCTGGAGGTTCCCGTCACAAAATTTGGATGTCGGTGTGATCTTGTACACCCTGTTTCGCGCCACATTGACATTCGCCATATTGACAAGCTGGTTGTACTGACATCAAAGCGTCCAAATTGGTCCCAGAACATACCGTATAAGCACTTTTGCAGCAAGAAACTGAACTCAAAAGCACGTTTTTTTTTTTTCATAAAACGTTGTCTACCGTTCTCCTGAAGTGCATTTCGGTTGCAAGCACCAGCCCGCCGAATCTAAGCACACGTGCGCACTGTAGCCGGGGCTCCCGACTGTTCAAACATCGAGAAACAGGGTGTATCCATCACACCTGGGTGCAATTTGACAAGACCTGGGCGAGAGGGGTGACATTGTGGGTCCATTGGGCAAGAGCTCCATCCACCAATTTGCTGGTGGGGGGCTTCTGCTATGGTTGTTCTTGCAACCGGGTACTATACTCACCCTTGAGAAGGTACGGTGAGGTTCGGGATGAAGGATTCTTTGTGGGATCAACTGGGTGGATCGAGTGTTGTGCAAAGAACATGTTTACTCAAGCATTGTATGGGGTCCGCCTACTTTTCGGGTTGGTGTATTGTATTCCTCACCCCGCTTTCTAGCCATATCGTGTCAGGTCCCATTCAGGGAGGAAAGACCCAGGGCTAGCTGGATGACTTCATCCGTTCTTTGGAGGGATGTCTGGTCCTCCCACTACTCTATGGGGAAGTTAGGACCAAAGTTCAGGCCCCCATAAAATTCTCTTGCCTTGAAGCGCGAGTGTTGGGCTGCAGCAATTTGCCACACCACCACCACCAGTGCTCAAATACACCCTAATGCTCACTCAACCGCCCACTCTGAACACGCCCACTGCCACTCCATACGCCCAGTGGTCGACATTCACAGCCAACGGCCCGCGCGTTACTAGCCCACGACAAAACCAAGATGTTCGAGTTTCCCAGACAAAACACGCTGGGCTACCCACAATTTCCGCAACTGTAGTTTTTTTGTCAACCTTTGTTCTACATTCAGTCCCATTCTGCCCCTAGTGAACGCATGCTCGAGAGAGGAGCACAGGGAAAGATGGGGAAGGGGACTGAAATGGGCATCATGTGTAATGTCTAATTGCAACAAATCCACCATCTCCCGTTTTCTGCCAAAAGAAAATTCTGCATTCATCGTGTGAGTCGATGTGGCATTACGTCACTCGTGTGGTGATGGCAGGTTTTTTACTCCTAACCAGTGGGTAACACCTCCAAATCTCATTATCTCAGAAAAAGCAGGGTTCTTACTGGTTGTTACGAGTGTTCCTAGGATAATATTTCAGAATCTCAAAGCCGCCGTTGCATTCGTGGGACAGACTAGTCTTTGCTAAACAAGCGTCAATTTGATACAGGTTGCAGATTTGACTCGAGATCGCACGGAATGTACTGTTGAGTAGCACTAATAGACATAGGAAGGAATAACACCATCGCTATTCCATATTTTTATGCAGAGGTTCCGGTTTGAGACAAAGGTAAGACACCCATTCTCAAACATTTCTGCTCAGATGACGCCATGACTAGACAACTGACAGCCAGCAACCACTCGAACCACGCGAGCAACTCGATGAGAGGAGAGAATTTTGCGTCTTGTCTTGTCATGTCACTCCCTCCCTACACAAGCCTTTCAGTGGACTTATCCAACAGAGTTAGTTAACCGTGTTGTGGGAGGAGAGTTGGCCTCACTGTAACACGTTTAAGTGCCTGGACTGAATCTTCCAGCGACGTTCCACATTGCTTCTCAGACTTGGCAAGTAGTTAGAGTGGTAGTGGTGGCATGCGTCTTACGCGGTCTGTGCAGCAAGACCCATGATGCTTTGCGACGAGCGTCGATAAAAACAATCACGACAGCCCGAATTGGCTCGTACGCGTGTGTCACGCGGTCGTTCAGTCGGCAGAAGGCATCATTCACAGCATTGGATCCATCTTCACGCGGCCTAAGAAATGGGTCGTCGAGACGCGCAAGCTCGTTCTACTAGGACTTCTTGAAGCAGCGAGAAGATAAGTTCTTGGCAATACACGAAAACTCGTCGTATCCCGCGGCCTGGCTGTGCCGCGGTATTAATTTTACATCGAAGATTTCTGCGATACACCGTACACGCCGAGTCGCGCCACTGCATTTAATATTCGATTCTCCGCGTGATGAACGATGATCGCCGGCCACCAGCACTGGCGGCGGAAGCGGGAAGAGTCAGTCTGCGCGGCGAATCTGCAGCCGACGGCGGCAGCGGAGTCCCCCTCCCCCCAGCGGAATCTGCAGACGCGGCGTCTCCGCTTCACGAGACCGCCGACCTCTCAGCGCGAATCCCCACTAGAGGAGCGATGACCGCAGCCGCAGCGTTAGCGCAATGCAGCGGCGGCGCGGGAAGCACTCCTATCGCCAACCGAAACGCCGCCGCGGAAAATGGGGCGGCGTTGTTAATAAGCAGCTCTCCGAGCAGACATGGATTTTTACGGCCCACACCAGGGCTCGATCGCGCGACCTTTCCACATTGGATGCTCGGATCTGCAACTGCGACGCCAGTGGATCATAATAGGGGGGTTGCTGCCAGTTATTCTAGTAGCGGCGACGTTGTCCCTTCCCCTGCAACAGCGGCGGCGGCGCGGGATTCGGCGCTCGCCTCCAGCGGGGCCGCCGCCGCCGCCGCATTGCCGCTTGCGCCCTTCGCGTCCGCCATGGACGCTCTCCGCGCGACGTCCCACCGCACGTGGGAGGCGGCGGCGCGCAGCGCGGCGGCCGATTTGCCTTCAGCGGCGGAAGATCGTTCGGCGCAAGAAGGCGGACTCGACGGCGGAAGCAGCAGCGTCGCGTTGCTAGATCTTGCTATGCAGGCCGCAATGCGGCCTGTTTTTTCAGGCGCACATCGCCCTTTGTTCCCCTCCCCCTTCCGCGCACCGCCCCATAGTATTCTACCTATGACCTTCTCAATGGCTTCCCCCATCGATGCTAGCGCCTCCACCGCTTCCGCCGACGCTGCAACGCCCGCCCCGGGGCCGCCGCACCTACCGTTTCCCCCTCAGATCTCGCGCCTGTCCGCGGATTCTTGCGCCTCTCCGCCCCAGTTCTCCGCCGATCCGCGCCTGTTCCTCACGCGGCTAACCCAACTGCAAGCCGCCGACACCGTCGGCGCAGCCGCTGGCTCCGCCTTCGCCGCCTCCGCCTCCGCGGGTGACCCAGCTGGTGCTGTTGCAGCGCACGCCGCCGCCGCCGCAGCCATTGCAGAGGGGGAACCCCGCGCTGCAAGCTTGATGGATGAGGGGAAGCGGGAAGAAGGGGGAGGGGTGGTGGCGGTAGGAAGCAAGGGGGAATGGGGCGGGGGGTATGATCATGATGGGAGAGGTGGCGGTGATCTGGGCGGCATGGATGATGTGGACGCAATGATGAAGACAGAGAGTGATGCTGACGTGGCAAGTGGTGACAACAGCGGTGGCGGTTGCAGTGAAGATGAGGAGGACGATGGGCATGGGGGGGATGAGGGGCATGGGGGACAGGAGGGGCAGGAAAGGCATGGGGGACATGGGGGGCACGGGGATCATGGAGGGAACGGTAGGGGGCATGGGGGGCACGAAGAAAAATCAGGGGAAGAGGTGAAAGGGCAACTGCAGCAGTCGCGGCAAGCTAGACAAACGCAGAATCAGCGTGGGCCTCAAAGGCTTTCCCGCGGCTCCACTAGGGCGGCCAGTGGTCCTCACCAGACCAGGTACGTTGGTGGGGTGCGCATTTTAAAAGGTTGAAAGGGGAACGGCTGATGCATTCTTTGCTCGCTTGCGCTCCTACCTAATTCGAATTATTCTCGTTGGAACTTTGGTTGCTGCGCAACGGGCACGAATTACCACATGGCATGGCACGGCATGGCATGGCATGGCATGGGCGTGCAGGAAGCGCAAGCCAGTGGTGCATGCAGGGAGCCGCTCAGTGGTGGCAGAGGATGGCTATTTTTGGCACAAGTACGGCCAGAAGACTGTCATGGACCGTGCAGTTACCAGGTAACTTGTGCTTTGTTATGCCGGTGTAGTGACGTGCTTCTACTAGTGGGTGGGCTCCTGGCACAAGTACGGCCAGAAGACCGTCATGGACTGCGCAGTTACCAGGTAACCTTTGGCACAAGCATAGCCAGAAAGCTGCTGTGGATGACATGTAGTTACCAAGTAGGCCAAAAGTGTGATGTGCTGAACTTGACGCAACTTTTGAGTCGACTCAAAAGCCAGCAGTGTGATGTGCTGAACTTGACGCAACTTTTGAGTCGACTCAAAAGCCAAAAGTGTGATGTGCTGAACTGACGCAACCCTGACCATGAAACCTGAACGTCCGGAAGTCGAAACTTGACATGCAACTTGAACTCCTTTGACATCCTCGGATCAACTCGCAACCAATCTCCCCCTCCCCTCCTCTTTTCCCTTCCCCTTCCATTCCAAGGGCGTATTTCCGGTGCGCCCGCCACAGCATGGGCTGCCAGGCCAAGAAAACCATCGATTCGCCACTCGTGCTTGACCCTGCTACAGCCACTGCCACAACCGCTGCTACAGCCGCTGCCACAACCGCTGCTACAGCCGCTGCCACAACCGCTGCTACAGCCGCTGCCACAACCGCTGCTACAGCCGCTGCCACAACCGCTGCTACAGCCGCTGCCACAACCGCTGCTACAGCCGCTGCCACAACCGCTGCCACAACCGCTGCTACAGCCGCTGCAGATACACACACGACTGCTTCTGATCCATCCTCCCCTGCCACGAGCCCTAGAGCCACTTGGGGCGGCACTACAGCCAAGGCAGAACCCTGCACAGATGCATCCAGCGCTACAGCTGTCGTTACAGCCGGTGCCGCCTCTGCCACTCAGAGCAACAGCACTGGCACTCCGAGAAAACCATCAGCTGCATCTGGTGCCGCTGCTTCTGCTGCTGCTAGTGGTGCTCCTGACACTGCTGGTGCGGGTGGCGGCGGAAACATCAGCGGTAGCACCAGCAGCAGCATCAGCGTCGTATACCACGGAACACACAACCATGCCAAGCCCGGTGCCAGTGCCTCAGAAGCTTTCACCCGAGTCATAAACGTTCCCACCTCCCTCCATCCATCTCTCTCCTCCTCATTCCCCCCCTCCCCCCTCCCCAATTCGCTCTCTTCCCCACTCCCTCCCGCTTTCTCTGTCTCATTCCCTCGCTCGCTCTCCGCCAACGTCCCTTCTTCTCTCGCGAGCTCACAGGGAGCAGCAGCAGGAAGCGGATCAGCAAGAGCGGCCGGCTTGGGAGGAATAGAAGCAGCAGCAGCAGCAGCAGGAGCAGGAGCAGTAGGAGGGGCGGGGAGGGCACAAGGAATGACAGAAGAAGCAAAAGGATTGCAGGGGAGGTCAGGCGAAGCAGGCATGGTGCTGAGCCCTCATCAGACCATCAAGAGGGCTGCATCTGACGGCTCACATGCAGCCTCACGTGTTCACATGCTCTCAGCCTCACTGGCCCTTAACCCTGCCCAAGGCACGTCTACACTCTTCGCTGCAGCCGCGGCAGCAGCAGCGGCAGCCGCTGCCGCGGCAACGATGGCAGCACCAGCAGGTGGTGTTGGTGGCGCTGCTTCTGCTGCTGCTGCTGCTGCAGCGGCCCCTGCCGGGCCTTTTTTCTCACCCCTGGTTACCTCTCTTCACCGCTCTGGAAACCCTGTGGCGGACGCGTCAATGAGGGGCTTGCCATCAATCGCAGGTAGCTCAGTTTTGCCGCACATGGGGGTATCTGGCGGACCTTTTTGCGGATCCGGGGGGAAGTTTGACTCGTCTGCGGCTCCTTTTGGCTCCCTAGCCATGCTGCGCGCAGTGCAGATACAGCCGTCCCAGCTGCAGCAGTCCCAGCTACAGCAGTCCCAGCTGCAGCAGTCCCAGCTACAGCAATCGCAGCTACAGCAATCGCAGCTACAGCAATCCCAACCACAGCAGTCCCAATCACAGCCAGCACTGCAACATCCATTCATGCAGCCACCACCACACTTCCAGCCGTCCTCGTTTCAAGCATCCCCGTTTCAAGCACCTGCGTTTCAATCCACGGCTCAGGTGATAAATAATCTGAACAACCCGAACCCGTTTGTGACGTCAGCAGGTCCCCTTTCCACATCAGCGTTTCCTGTAACACTGTCAGCTGCGCTCATGCCACTTCAGCACCCAGCCTTCTTATCTCCCCTTTCCCAACAACAGCAACAGCAAGCAGCAGCAGCAGCAGCAGCAGCAGCAGCAGCAGCAGCAGCAGCAGCAGCAGCAGCAGCAGCAGCAGCAGCAGCAGCAGCAGCAGCAGCAGCAGCAGCAGCAGCAGCAGCAGCAGCAGCAGCAGCAGCAGCAGCAGCAGCAGCAGCAGCAGCAGCAGCAGCAGCAGCAGCAGCAGCAGCAGCAGCAGCAGCAGCAGCAGCAGCAGCAGCAGCAGCAGCAGCAGCAGCAGCAGCAGCAGCAGCAGCAGCAGCAGCAGCAGCAGCAGCAGCAGCAGCAGCAGCAGCAGCAGCAGCAGCAGCAGCAGCAGCAGCAGCAGCAGCAGCAGCAGCAGCAGCAGCAGCAGCAGCAGCAGCAGCAGCAGCAGCAGCAGCAGCAGCAGCAGCAGCAGCAGCAGCAGCAGCAGCAGCAGCAGCAGCAGCAGCAGCAGCAGCAGCAGCAGCAGCAGCAGCAGCAGCAGCAGCAGCAGCAGCAGCAGCAGCAGCAGCAGCAGCAGCAGCAGCAGCAGCAGCAGCAGCAGCAGCAGCAGCAGCAGCAGCAGCTGCAGCAGCAGCAGCAGCAGCAGCAGCAGCAGCAGCCTCAGAACCCGCCTCAGAATCAGGTGCACCCGCCTAGGCCAACGAGCGGCCAATCCAGCTCCACCTCCTCTCTCCCCCCCTCTGACGTCATCAGCCCTTCGTCCTGCTCCAACCCCTCCCCTCGCAACATCCCTGCTGGCGTCACCATGGCTGTAGCTGCTGAAGTCCTCACACTTGCAGGAGTGGGGTCTCAGGTGGTGGGGGTGGGAGAAGGAGGAGGGGCAGCAGCAGCAGGCGGGGTGGGTGCGGCAAGGGGGGGCAGTGAGAGCGTTGCAAGAGCGGCAGGAGCACATGCAGGACGAGTGGAACGAGTGGGAGCAGCAGATGAAACGAAGGGGAGTGGGCAGCTGCCACCCGGAAAATTAGAGCCACGAGATGAAGCCGGGAGAGGGGCAGGTGGCGAGCCAACAGCGCCTTCCCTCCTCTCTCTCTCCCTCCGCCCCTCCTCTCTCACCTCACCACCACAAGGCCCCGCACTGCCAAACCCCCTACTTCTCTCTCCTTCCCATAAGCCCCTTGTCGACTCACACAGCAATCCCCATAACAATCCCAGTGAGAAAATCCACGAGAGTCGCGATAGTCAGCCCCACCCATCCCATCGCCCACGCTTTCCCAGTGGGCCAATCTCAGCCGTCCGTTCGGCCTCTGCTGCCCACCTGCCCTCCTCCTCCTCCTCCTTCTCCCACCTCTCCCCCTCTGTCCGCCCAGCGTCCGTCCCTCACCTGCCCTCCTTCTCCTCCTTCTCCCATCATTCCTCCGCACCCCCCAACCCCACCCTCGCTCCGCAACTGCCCTCCTCCTCTCATCATCCCTCCACCCCCGCCGCCCCCTCTGCCGCCCAACTGCCCTCTTTCTCCTCCCTGTGGCTGCAAGCACATGGGGCCACCCACGCTTCTCCCCATAACCCCACCGCTCCTTACAGTCACACCTCTGGTTACCACCAGCCTACCACTGGAAGCCCAGGGCAGGGGTTAATCCCATGGAAGGGCCCGGCAGGGCACGCACGGGAGGGGAAGCGTGAGAAGGAGGGCGAGGGGAGCCCTTCTGGCCGAGTGCCTTACTTTCAGACGGCGGGAATGAAGGGAGAAATGACACAATATGTGACTTCGTCAGGAGTTTTTGCTGCCGCCGGTGCTGCTGCTGCTGCCTCTGCTGCCGGTGGTGTTGGTGGTGCTGGTGGTGTTGCTGCTACTGGTGCTGACACGTGCGGTTCCAGAGGGGACGTTACTCCTGACGTGAGTCAGCACTTGAAGAGGATACGGGTGGAGTGGAGCACTGGTAAGGGAGACATAAGAACTGAGGATGGGTCTCAGCGGACCAGGGCTCTTGCGCTTAGGGGCAGGAGGGCAGGAGCGGGAGGAGAAGCAGATAACGGTAGGGAGCGAGGGGATGAGAAGCGAGGCGAGATGGGGGGAGAGAGGGGGATAGAGTGGAGCGGCGAGGGGGAGCAGGGGAAGAAGGCTTTGAGTATGGTGGGAAGCGGTGCTAGAAGGCATTTATTTCAACGTGGGGAGGATGGGAGAGGTCTTGGGAACAGACAGCAGCAGCAGCCACAGCTGCAGCCGCTGCAGCAGCAGATGGTGGCAGAGGCGCGGACAACCCAGCAATGCCAGCAAGGGATGCAGCAAGAACGGCAGCAGGGGTTGCATCAACAGCAGGAGGTGCAGCAACCAGGACAGCAGCAGGAGATGACGAAGCAATTGCAGCAGCAGCAGGAGCAGCAGCAGCAGCCAGGGCAGAAAAAGCAGTGTGTTGATCTGGAGCTTAGACTCTGACACGTGGCAACTTGCACCTCGAATCTGGGTTGATAGCTTTATCAGGTGCCACGGATTAGACTTCACAGTTGGTGTAGCAGGAAGCTGAATCGGACGGAGGAGAGTGGTTGGATAAGTAAGAGAATCATCTCAGGTTAGGAGATATGAGGGTAGGCGAATGATTTGAGATTAGGAAAATGAGCTGAAATCTAGGCGGTTCAAAAATAGGAGAGTGATTTGAGAGTAGGAGATGCTTTGCAAATAGGAGAGCAATTTGGAAGTACGGTACGCATACCGTAGTTGAAGGAAAAAGTACCGTATGATTTAGGTAAGTTCTAGACCTAAGGTATCTGTTGTGAAAAAATCCCAAACGCAAAACATACCTCGTATTTTTGGTCAAACATAGCTAACGAGCCTTGCCTTGCCTCATGGCTCCAATAGCTGTAGGAGTAATTAGAAGAGCGACAGGAAGAATTTGCACAATGAACGGCCTATTTCTAATTCTTGATTCACCCACCCTCACTCTGAGCTTCGATAAGCTTTCCGATGAATGCCCTGGTGCAACAAGAAACCCGCGACGGTGGTGGAAATGTACAGGCTACAAGATGGATGCAGAAATAACACCGCGATTTTGGAGCGAAGAAAAAGCTGGATACACTCTGATCGGCAGAAGTGTTGCATGTAATCGAATCGGACCCCACTTTGACGGGAAGTTATGGCGAGTACATGCTTCTGACGCGGTCTGAGACGGTTTACTACCTTTCGGAACGGTGCAAAAGGTGACACGTGGTGGAGGGCCGAGTCAGGAGATGAAGCTTCTGGATCGAATCAGGGACAGGAACGCGAAGAAGTGGACGTGGAAGGCGGGCTTTGCAGCCATTTGGACGCGACAAAGAAGGGGCAGCATCAGGCCAGGGCAGCTACACTGAGGCGGGTTATCACCTAGCCTCCAAGCGCAGTTACGACTGTTCTTGCTTTTGTACACTTGCCTATTCGGTGTATAATGCAATTACCAAAAAAAAAAAACCTTTCGGAACGGTTTAGTTTATAACCGCTTCGGACCACTGCACACCGGAATGGAATATTCAATCTGACCCGCCTTTGTTACTCTTGATGGAGAAGCTATTACCAAATCACACTTGCGCCCCGCAAGCGCATCAGGCGTTCTGCTCTCATCTCATCCCCTCTTACACCAAGAAAACACCCATATCCGTGTCTTGGGATCAGCTTGTTGATTCCTCTATCTCCCCAGGATCGAATCCTCGAGGCGGTTGATTCTGGTTCTCAGGATTGACTCGACTCGAGGTCGAGCATTCACCCTCCCTTGAATCGGTGCCACTCCGCCTCGCATCACCTTCGCAGTTATCCTCGTTCCGTCTCCACCATTCCATAAGACCTCCCCGCCGCCGCCGCCGCCGCCGCTCCCGGTGCCTTCGCTATCACGCAACTCGTTATATTCGCTGGACATGCGTTGACTCCCGTTGATCTGCACGCACACGCTGCATGGCCGATGGCGTCGTCGCGCCACGTGCTGCGTAACGCGCTCTCCGCGTTCCGCTCCCGCATCCGCGAGTCGAGCACTCTCATCAACCCCCGTTACAAGCACGTTTCGCAAGCCACCAGTAGTTTACCCACATCAAGCTACTTCCCCCCGTTAGTAGATCGAGCCGCCATCTCGCCGCAGTTTCACCACCAAAGCCCCCTCTGCCTTCGTTATAGCAACCCGTTGCCTTCCCTGCACCCGCGCGCGTTCTTCCCTCACGCTTTAGTCACATCCGCGCAACATTCTAAAGCAGGTCTCGAAGCTACTATAGTCACACCCGCGCAGCAGCTGCATTCGCCAGCCTGCTGGCGGGTGACGTGGCATCCGCAGAGCACACGCCAAGGGGTTGCTGTAGTCGCGCTGGTGGGCTGCAGTGCCACGTCAGCAGCATCTGCGTCGTTCCATCATGGTGATTCCCTCACCTCTTCTGCACGCGGCTTGCACTTCTGCTGCTTTTGAGTCGACTCAGAAATACGCTTTCTTGCACGCGTGCTGCACAGATGACCACTTCATTTGTGCATCCCACTCGTGCTGCTTGCTTTCTCTACCTCTCAAGAACCGAGGAACCACCCACCCTCAACCCCATACTCCCCCTCTCCCCATACTCCCCCTCCCCCCATACTCCCCCTCCCCCCATACTCCCCCCCCCCCCCCCCCCTCCCTCGACTTCCCGCACCCCCCCTCTCATCTCTCTCTTCTTCCCTCCTCTCCCTTAACCCCCATTCCCTACGTCTTCCCGGCTTCTAAATCCGCAAATGTATCCCCCTTACAGGCATCTCCGTTCTCTCTCAAGAGACCAAACCAGCCGAACCAACCAGCCAGAGCCAGCAGCAGCAGAAGCAGCAGCAGCAGCAGCAGCAGCAGCAACCCCAGGCAGCCCGGCAGCCGCCAAACCAGCAGAATCAGCAGGCTCGGCGGAGGTTCGGAGCGAGCGGGCCAACAGGGAGGCAGGCAGAGGCGAATAAGTCCCATCTGATGTACTTAATCGCTGCCGCGCTGGCCATGCTGGGCGCTGCCTATGCCTCCGTGCCCCTCTACCGCCTCTTCTGCCAGGCCACTGGGTTTGGAGGGACGACGCAGAGGAAAGAGGTGCGGGGGGGAGGAGGAATGGGGGAAAGAGTGGGGACCGGGGTTGATTGCGGGGGGAAGAAAGGGGAGTGAAAGGTGTTGGTTGGCGGGGGAGGGATAACCTCTCAGACATCTGCTCGTGCTTCTTCGGTTTTGACTGTTTCGTGTCATTGTCTTGCACCATGCCGCATTGACTGTTTCGTGTCATTGTCGTGCACCATGCCGCATTGACTGTTTCGTGTCATTGTCGTGCACCATGCCGCATTGACTGTTTCGTGTCATTGTCGTGCACCATGCCGCATTGACTGTTTCGTGTCATTGTCGCGCACCATGCCGCATTGACTGTTTCGTGTCATTGTTGTGCACCATGCCGCATTTACTGTTTCGTGTCATTGTCGCGCACCATGCCGCATTGACTGTTTCGTGTCATTGTCGTGCACCATGCCGCATTGACTGTTTCGTGTCATTGCCGTGCACCATGCCGCATTGACTGTTTCGTGTCATTGTCGTGCACTATGCCGCATTGACTGTTTCGTGTCATTGTCGCGCACCATGCCGCATTGACTGTTTCGTGTCATTGTCATGCACCATGCCGCATTGACTGTTTCGTGTCATTGTCGTGCACCATGCCGCATTGACTGTTTCGTGTCATTGTCGTGCACCATGCCGCATTGACTGTTTCGTGTCATTGTCGTGCACCATGCCGCATTGACTGTTTCGTGTCATTGTCGCGCACCATGCCGCATTGACTGTTTCTTGTCATTGTCGTGCACCATGCCGCATTGACTGTTTCGTGTCATTGTCGTGCACCATGCCGCATTGACTGTTTCGTGTCATTGTCGTGCACTATGCCGCATTGACTGTTTCGTGTCATTGTCGCGCACCATGCCGCATTGACTGTTTCGTGTCATTGTCATGCACCATGCCGCATTGACTGTTTCGTGTCATTGTCGTGCACCATGCCGCATTGACTGTTTCGTGTCATTGTCGTGCACCATGCCGCATTGACTGTTTCGTGTCATTGTCGTGCACCATGCCGCATTGACTGTTTCGTGTCATTGTCGTGCACCATGCCGCATTGACTGTTTCGTGTCATTGTCGCGCACCATGCCGCATTGACTGTTTCGTGTCATTGTCGTGCACCATGCCACATTGACTGTTTCGTGTTATTGTCGTGCACCATGCCGCATTGACTGTTTCGTGTCATTGTCGTGCACCATGCCGCATTGACTGTTTCGTGTCATTGTCGCGCACCATGCCGCATTGACTGTTTCGTGTCATTGTCGTGCACCATGCCGCATTGACTGTTTCGTGTCATTGTCGTGCACCATGCCGCATTGACTGTTTCGTGTCATTGTCTTGCACCATGCTGCATTGACTGTTTCGTGTCATTGTCGTGCACCATGCCGCATTGACTGTTTCGTGTCATTGTCGCGCACCATGCTGCATTGACTGTTTCGTGTCATTGTCGTGCACCATGCCGCATTGACTGTTTCGTGTCATTGTCGTGCACCATGCCGCATTGACTGTTTCGTGTCATTGTTGTGTACCATGCCGCATTGACTGTTTCGTGTCATTGTCGTGCACCATGCCGCATTGACTGTTTCGTGTCATTGTCATGCACCATGCCGCTTTGACTGTTTCACTCTTCTCACTCTTCTCATTCGTCTCGTTGTTGGCCGGCTGTGACAAAATCGCGCAGGCAGTGGAGGAGAAGGGTGCGCGGCAGAATGCAGACAACAGGGTCTGTGTGTTCGGAAGCGTGCTGTGTTGCTCCGTGCTGCCCTCACCCACCTCACGCTGCTCTTCCCCTGCTCTCCCTCTGCCTTCCCTCTGCGTGTCACTGAGTCTTGCAGACGGTGGAGGAGAAAGTGGCACGGCAGAATGCACACAACACTGATAATGCCGTCAATTCCGGCTGTGCTGCTCTGTTGCGCTCTCACTCCTACGCTTCTGCTCTCCCTCTGCTCCCCCTCTGCTCTCCCTCTGCTTTTTGTGCAGACGGTGGAGGAGAAGGTGGCACGGCAGAATGCACACAACACTGCAGCGCCTGCCAGGTACGTTGCTGTGGCTAGGGCCTGCTCGCTTCACCTCGCCTCACCTTTGCTCACCTCCCAGTAACTCATACTGCTCATCGCACCTACTTGTATTAATCGCAATCAATCCTAATCAGGCATAGCAACACGCTGTCACCTCATCCCATTCCCTCTTCTTCTCAAAACCCCTCAATATTTTCATCCGTTCTACGTGACTGCTGTCTCCCTGGTTGTTCTTTCCCCGCCACACGTAAACTGCAGGGAGCTGGTAATTCATTTCAATGCTGACGTGGCAGAGGGGCTGCCGTGGCGCTTCATCCCCACACAGAGAGAGGTGGGTGTGACGCGTGGCGTGCTGATATGCCACCATCGCATCATGGCACATCTCATCATGAGATGCCCAATGTGGCTGGGACTGTGCATGGCGTGGCATGGCATGGCATGGGATTGGATGGCATTTCATTGCATGGCATGGCATGGGATCGGTAGGGGTGGGATCTGTCAAAAGAGGACAGGTGGGCTGCGAAGGCCTTACTTCCATCAACTCTTGCTGTATTAGGACAACGAGACAAACTTCATGAAAAATGGTAAGGGTGGGATCCCGCATGGCATAACAACAAGGGAGATGGCAGTCACATTGCATACTGCTCTTCCTCCCCTGCTGCTTTATCAATGTGCCATATACCTGCCTGCTCTGTGATGCTGCCACTTTGAGTTTTGAGACGTCTTCAAACAAATTCTTGAGACGTCTCAGAACTCTGCTGTGTCATCAATGTGGCACATACCTGCGTGCTCTCCGATGCTGCCACAACTCACTTTGCCAATTCTCCACGTACCATTTGTCCCGAACCTCTCGCACAGGTTCGGGTGAGGCCCGGCCAGAGCACGCTCGCGTTCTACACAGCGCACAACAAGAGCGACAAGCCCATCACAGGCGTCAGCACCTACAACGTGTCTCCCATGAAGGTAAGTGTGCGCCACTCGTGGTGTGCTGCTCTTGGTGTGCCGCCCATAGTGTCCGGCCATGTCTTGAAGGTGTGTTTGCCGCGTCAACTCAAAGCACAACAAGAGTGACAAGCACATCACAGGCTTCACCACCTACAACGTCTCTCCCATGAAGGTGCGAGCCACTCATGGTGTGCCACTCATGGTTTGCTGGTGTGACATGCATGGTGTGCTGGTGTGCCGCCCATATCTTGAATGTGTGCCGCCCATATCTTGAATGGGTCCCCAACCTTTCCCCCCACAGGCGGGCATCTATTTCAACAAGATCCAGTGCTTCTGCTTCGAGGAGCAGCGCCTTCAGCCCGGAGAGACCATCGACATGCCTGTGAGTGGGAGAGACCATTGACATGCCTGTGAGTGGGAGAGACCATTGACATGCCTGTGAGTGGGAGAGACCATTGACATGCCTGTGAGTGGGAGAGACCATTGACATGCCTGTGAGTGGGAGAGACCATTGACATGCCTGTGAGTGGGAGAGACCATTGACATGCCTGTGAGTGGGAGAGACCATTGACATGCCTGTGAGTGGGAGAGACCATTGACATGCCTGTGAGTGGGAGAGACCATTGACATGCCTGTGAGTGGGAGAGACCATTGACATGCCTGTGAGTGGGAGGAGTGGCCCCAAGAGAGGGGCACGCCTGTGAGAGGGGCAGACATGATGGCATGAGTTATGTGGCATGCATGATGGCATGAGTTATGTGGCATGCATGATGGCATGAGTTATGTGGAATGCATGATGGCATGAGTTATGTGGCATGCATGATGGCATGAGTTATGTGGCATGCATGATGGCATGAGTTATGTGGCATGCATGATGGCATGAGTTATGTGGCATGCATGATGGCATGAGTTATGTGGCATGCATGATGGCATGAGTTATGTGGCATGCATGATGGCATGAGTTATGTGGCATGCATGATGGCATGAGTTATGTGGCATGCGTGATGGCATGAGTTATGTGGCATGCGTGATGCCATGAGTTATGTGGCATGCATGATGGCATGAGTTATGTGGCATGCATGATGGCATGAGTTATGTGGCATGCATGATGGCATGAGTTATGTGGCATGCGTGATGGCATGAGTTATGTGGCATGCGTGATGCCATGAGTTATGTGGCATGCATGATGGCATGAGTTATGTGGCATGCATGATGGCATGAGTTATGTGGCATGCATGATGGCATGAGTTATGTGGCATGCGTGATGGCATGAGTTATGTGGCATGCATGATGCCATGAGTTATGTGGCATGCATGATGGGCCACCATCACCAACTGTTCATCCCCCTCCCACCCCTACACTGCCACTCCACCCGCTCACCACCGCCCATCAGGTGTTTTTCTACATCGATCCAGAGTTTGCCAGCGACCCACAGATGAAGAACGTGAACCATCTCACCCTCTCCTACACCTTCTTCCGTGTTGACTCGCCGTGATTGACTTCTGTTGACTTGAGTTGACCTGCACTGATTGGTTGCTGTTGACCTGTGTCATCACCCTTCAAATAGAGAGCACTAACAAAATGGCTCCACTTAAGTTTGTGTGTGCACGAAATATCTGGTGGATCTCTAGTTTGAGAGCACAGCTTGACCTCCTAAATTTTACAGACGTGGAAAAAGTCATTACACAGTACGGTACATGTGAAAAGAAATACAACAAAATATAATACAGCATAAGGCTACTTTACAGGAACTAGCCTCTGAATAATATTATACAGGAACTCCGACCATGTATCTTCCGGTCCCGGCAAGCAGTAATGCAAGCAGTCCATTTTCTCAACAAACCCTCTATGCCCGTCAGGTCTCAAGGCACTTAGATGATCAACATCCATGAACACACCCCCCATTGCCTCCACTATGGGCCGCACCGCATCGTTTTGCGCCTTGAATTCCCCCCAATGAAAGGGTAAATCGCTCCCGTTTTGCCGCTTCAAAAGGGGCTTGTTGTAGTCCTTGCAGTTGAGGTGACCCGTGGCCGTCGCCCGGTAAATGATCAGCTTCTCGTGGTAATTATACCGGAGAAATTGCAGCGCGCGCGACACCGACAACACAACATGCCCTGTGGATTTGAAATGCGCGCCTCGATTCAACACCACCACATGCGCATCCTTAATCTCCTCACTCTCCATCCAAGGCGTGCTAATCCATCGCACACGGTCCCTCTTCTCCTCCCACACAGGCACAAGCCGCCGGTTCGCAATGTAATGCACCACCAGCTTTCCACACCCGCTGTCATCCACATCATCGAATCGGTATGTCGCTCGGGTGAAATAATCGCCTTTTTTTCGCAACATCTGCGCCACCCACGCCGCACTGTCCTCTCTGGTTACCACGCTCGCCGGCTTTCGCACGTGTGTTACAATGCTATGTACAAAGGATATGTGTGCCTCTCGGGTAAGTGAGTCCCCGACAAAAGCAATTCTCAACCCGTCTTTCCTCCGCCGAGCCAGCTCACACAGCGCGCGCCCGTCGAACCTAGAGAACAGCTCGTCAGGTTCGGAAACTTCCGAGCCTGGAACAGCCTGGGCTCGGGCGCCTAGCTTTGCATGAACCACGCGTGGACACCTGTCCTTGGCAACCCCCCACTGGTACTTCAACGCATCCCTCACCTTCCACGCCTGCTCCCGTTCCTCCCGACCCATCTCCCGATCCAAAGCGACAGTGTCGGCAGCAGCTCCGGCCAAGCCGCCGTTTTCCCGGACGTGGAACAGGTCGCAGTTGTCAAAGCCACGTTCGGCCCAGGGCAGCACACGCGGGGTGACGTTGAAATGCCACTCCCCCCTCTCCGCTACACACGCCGCCCACCGCCTAAACTCCCCCACCTGGCCCGTCCCCTTCCGTAGCCTTGACCCCGGGATGGAATCGCTGAAATCTTCCGGTTTGCCGTTGCTATCCCCCAGCCTTGACCCTGGGATCAAGTCGCCGAAATCGCCGAACCTGCTGGCAGCTTCGGCAAAGTCACTGGGATTGGCATGGATACCAGCGCTGGTGACAGTGGTAGGCTCGAGAGTTGGCTTGAAGGCGTCGGGAGGAAAGGAGATTGCAGGAATTCCTGTGAGGGCCAGTAGGGTCGGGTTTCTTCGGACTGTAGCGAGCACTGTAGCGTACACCTCGTCCACGTGGCACTGTTCCCCCGTGTTCTTGTCCAGCCACGTGGGGTCGCACACGCTAAGATAATGTTGAATCCCGAGCCGCTCCGCCAGCTGGCAGTGCCACGTGGCGGCGCTGGGTTGGCCGATGAGAGCAGACTCAGCCGCTGCTTTCTTGTGGTAGGGTGAGCGGAGGAGGAGCGAGAGGGGGAGGGAGGAGCGGGGGCGGGTAACGGGGTAGGGAAGCAGTTCGATGAGGGTGGAATTGAATGGCATGAAGAGGAGGTTGGTGAGGGCGGGCGATGTGGGGCCCACCAGGAGAATGGCTCTTGAGAACAGTGCCTTGGCTGCACGGGGAGGACAAGGGGGGGAAAGGAAGGTGGGCAGGTGACAGAGTAGGGGAGGAGTTTGATGCTAGTGGAGTTGAAGGGCATGAAAAGGACAAGGAGGTTGGTGAGGGCGGGCGATGTGGCGCCCACCAGGAGTATCGCTCTTGACAACAGGGCCTTGGCTGCAGGGGGGGTAGGGGAAAGAAAGGTAGGGAGAAGCGGGAAAGACGAAAAAAAAAGAGACAGAAAGAGGTTAAACTGAAAAAGGGTTTGAACAACAAACAGAAGGCAGAAGAATACATCAATCGCTCAATCGCTCAAGCAAGCCTTGGTGCGGCAGCATGTGCTTGTCAACGACAGCCCCTTGGGCATCGTTTTAATCACATCACATGCATGCTTGCCTCTCCGCTCCTTCACTCATGCCCTTCTCTATATTCACGTGCATGCATCCATACCCGCCTGTCTGTGCGCCTGAGAGTCACCCACCTTGCAGCAGCGGCATGTGCTCATCGTATACAATCACCCTCCCATCCGAGAACAGCTCCTTGAGCATCGCTATAATCACATGCATGGCTGCCTCTGTCTCCCTCACACCCTCCCCCCCTCCCCCTCCCTCCATCACATGCATACTCCACACCACCGACACCACCACCACCCAATCCTCCGGCAGCGCCCGCCCCACCACCAGCCCATCAGGCGAATCTTCAGGTGAAACTTCAGGTGAATTCTCAGGTGGTTGTATTTGCAGGGGCGCGGGGAGGCGGGGGGTCCAGTCGGAGGAGAGGATGGGGAGGCCGTGGGGGGGCAACAGGTGGTAACCGCGGAGGGCCAGCCAGAGGGCATCAGGGGCGCGCGGTGGAGAGGAGTGGAGTGCGGTGAGCGGAGGTGAAGAGAGGCCGCAGAGGCTGGGGGTGTGGATGGGGAGGAGGAGGGTTCTCGCGAAGAATAGGTGGGCAGGCATGCCGGTGGTGGCAGCGGTGGGATCAAGACCAGTGTCTGGGTGGTTGTAAGAGCCGTCGCTGCTGCTGCTGCTGCTGCTGTAGACGCCGTGCAGGAGGGCTGAGGGGTGGCGGATGGCTAGTGGTGCGAGGTCCACACCAAAGACATCTGGGCCGAGATGGGATAGCAGCTGATTCATGGAGAGGGGGGGAAAGAAGGAGGAGAGGGGAGGGGGGAGGGGAGAGGAAGCAGAGAAAGGGAGAGGTGAGGCGCTGTTGCTGCTGCTGTGGGTGCATTGAAACAGGATTGAGGAGTGGCGGTTGGCTAGTGGGGCGAGGTCCGCACCGAAGACATCCGGACCGAGATGGGATAGCAACTGACAAGGGAGGGGGAAGAGGGGACGAGGGATAGAAAAATAGAGGTGAGGTGGTGTTTCTGCTGCTGTGGGTGCTTTGAGAGAGGGCTGTGGATGGTGCGGTGCCTGGCTAGTGGGGCGAGGTCTACACCAAAGTTGACGGTTGAGTCGACTCAAAAGGTGCGGTGCATGGCTAGTGGGGCGAGGTCTACACCAAAGTTGGCTGTTGAGTCGACTCAAAAGGTGCGGTGCATGGCTAGCGGGGCGAGGTCTACACCAAAGTTGACTGTTGAGTCGACTCAAAAGGTGCGGTGCATGGCTAGTGGGGCGAGGTCTACACCAAAGTTGACTGTTGAGTCGACTCAAAAGGTGCGGTGCATGGCTAGTGGGGCGAGGTCTACACCAAAGTTGACTGTTGAGTTGACTCAAAAGGTGCGGTGCATGGCTAGTGGGGCGAGGTCTACACCAAAGTTGACGGTTGAGTCGACTCAAAAGGTGCGGTGCATGGCTAGTAGGGCGAGGTCAACACCAAAGTTGACTGTTGAGTCGACTCAAAAGGTGCGGTGCATGGCTAGCGGGGCGAGGTCTACACCAAAGTTGACTGTTGAGTCGACTCAAAAGGTGCGGTGCATGGCTAGTGAGGCGAGGTCTACACCAAAGTTGACTTTTTAGTCGACTCAAAAGGTGCGGTGCAAGGGTAGTGGGGCGAGGTCTACACCAAAATTGACTTTTGAGTCGACTCAAAAGGTGCGGTGCATGGCTAGTGGGGCGAGGTCTACACCAAAGACATCCGGGCCGAGATGGGATAACAGCTGACACATGGTTGGAGGTGAGGGTAGGGCGGAGGTGCGGAGGAGGCAGGAGAGAAAATGAGGTGAGAGTGGGAAGATTAGCCTGAGGTAGGATGTCTAGGTCAAAGCTACTTTCTGAGGTAGGATGTCTAGGTCAAAGCTACTTTCTGAGGTAGGATGTCTAGGTCAAAGCTACTTTCTGAGGTAGGATGTCTAGGTCAAAGCTACTTTCTGAGGTAGGATGTCTAGGTCAAAGCTACTTTCTGAGGTAGGATGTCTAGGTCAAAGCTACTTTCTGAGGTAGGATGTCTAGGTCAAAGCTACTTTCTGTGAACGAGGGCGCTGTGCTCGTATCACATCACATTTGAACATTCTCAGAGAGTAAGTGAGAGCTTTTCTGGCCCATCACCCTCACCTCCCCACAGCTCACATGGCGGTGATGTAGCAGCAAGGGGAAGCGCCGCGCGGTGGGCATGGGGGAGGAGGCGAGCAGGAAGAGCACTGGCAGCAGCCGCAGCAGCCCCCTCCCCTCCCTTGCGCCTCCCCCCCGACTCACATGAGAGTGGCTTGCGGGCTGATTTGACACGTCCTATCTCACTGCACCCCAACACTCCCCTCCCCTCGCCACAACTCACATGCCGGTGATTCAGCAGCAAGGGGAAGCGACGGGCAGAGGGCATGAGCGAGGAGGCGAGCAGGAAGAGCACTGGCAGCAGCCGCACGAGTCCACGTGTCCCCCCACTGTGCACCCTCGCCTGCGCCACCCACTCTCCGCCTCCGCTCCCCTTACCCCCACTCTTCTCCTCCTCCTCCTCCTCCTCCTCCTCCTCCTGTTCGTGTTCATAGGGGAGTAAGTTCACCAGATGCTCGTGCACGCTCACAGGGGTACCTGGGGGGAAGGAGAGGGACTGGACAAAGGGGAAGTCACACTTCAACATACCGGCTTTCTAGGCAATAGCCTTTTAGGCGCCTCAAACATTGAACAGACTCAAGGGAGGTAAGCATGGAAGCTGAGAGGCACGGTAAATCTGACTAGACACAGCAGGCATTACTTCTGAAGCCATAATCAGCGGAAGGCTCACACAAAATTTGCCTCTCCCTTTTTTCAATCACGAACTCACACTCTCCTCTCGGCCACCCCTCGGCCTTTCAAATCCTGAGTCGACTCGAATCGCACGCCCTGACTTCAGAGCAACCCCTCAACACACCTCTATGCGGCGAGTTGTGCACAGCCGCTCCCACACACTCCTCCCTCTCCTTCCTCAGCTCATTCATTGCCACGACCCGTCTCGCCTCCCCTCATGCTCCCACTGCTTGCTTGCTCTATCTGAAATCAAGTTTCGCAGACCTGAACTGACGAAGGTACTGTGCGGCCACCGCAGCCCACCTGACTGCAGCCCACCTGACTGCAGCCCACCTGACTGCAGCCCACCTGTCCTCTCCACTCCACTGATGACAACTCATGCTCCCACTGGGCCCATGTGTTGATGACATGACACGTGGACACGTTGACCACTGCGAACCCCTCTCAATCTCACCTTTAGCCTTCCTGGGGCTGCTCACCTTCTTCAGCTTCAGCGCTGCTGGGTGCTGACTCTTCCCCGCCGCCTCCCCTCATGCTCACGCACGCCCCATGCTATGAGAAGACATGGGACGCGTTGAACACAATACCCTCTCCTCACTATTAACCTCTCTGCTCCTCACCTTCTTCAGCTTCAGCACTGCTGCGTGCTGACTCTTCCTGCCGCCTCCCCTCAAGCTCCCGCACGTCCCATGCAATGAGAACACATGGGACGCGTTGAACACAACACCCCTCCCATCCACAAACACATCTCTCAGCAACACCACCCCTCCCTGTTCCACCACCCCTCCCTGTTCCACCACTCCTCCCATCTCTCCTCCCATCCCCACCTCCATCCCCTCCTCCTCCTCCTCCTCCACCCCCTCCCCCTTCTCCTCCTCCCCTTCCTCTCCCCCCCCGCTTCCCACCACCCGCGCCCCACGCTCAGCCTCTATGTAGTTAATCGCCTCCTGAGTGCGTCTAAATACCTCCTTTAGATCCAACTCTAACCCTTCTTTAGGACTCTCCTCCCCAGCAACCTCGTCTTTCACAAGGCCCTGCTTCTGCCTCTCCTTCTGCCTCTCACTCTCCTTCACCTTCTGCTGTCGCTCCTGCTCCGCCCACAACCATTCTTCCACAAACTCCCTCACCTCGTCCTCGTCCAAGCACATCTCGCCACGTGTCACCAGGGGGCGCGGCCAGAGCCATTTCCAGTGTTCACAGTCCTGCTGCACGGCCACGCTCCTCCCACCAACTGCTGCGCCGCTCCCACCCGCCCTACTGCCCGCCCCACCCACTGCGCCGCCTCCCCCGCCCGCCCTGTCCGCCTGAAACTGCTGCATGAAGGCAGCCAACCCCGCCAAAACCGCGCTGCCCTTGCTGCTCTCGCTGCTCTTGCTGCTCTCGCTGACTGGGAGGGCAGCAGTGGGGGTATCGTCAGCTGCCATGGGTCGCCACGCGCACGCATGGATGTGCGGGGAGGGGGCGTCACGCAAGAAAAAGCCCCACTGCTGGAAGTCCGGACACACTCCTCGTGATGCTGTCGCTGCTGCTGCCCTGCCGCCCGCCTGCTGCTGCTGCTGCTGCTGCTGCTGCTGCTGCTCCTGCTGCGCTCGCTGCCACTCCAGCTGCTGCGCGGATCGCGGCGCGCGAATGAGGTCGGCCAGAGGCAGAACCGCCAGGGACGATCCCTCCACCGCCGCCTCTAGCGCCGCCGCCGCCCCCGTCCGCTCCCGCTCACCCCGCGGATCCTGCGGATCTCCCTCCCGCTGATCCCCCTCGCGTTGATCCCACTGGTCCCGCAAGTCCGCTTGCTCCCCATGCAGCGCCTGCTTGCGCCTGCCGTTCCGCCGTCTGCCCCCGGTGCTGCCCGGTTCCGCTGATTCTGCGGGCTGTGGGCGGAAGCGGAGCAGCGGAGTGGGGTTATGCGGAGCTACTGAAGTGGCGAAATCCGCGGGTTGCGCGCGCAGGGGGAGCCGTGCAGCGGAGTCTGGTCGCAACGACCGCGCGGATCTATGCCCGCTGCTGGAATCATGCGATGCTCCGCGAAGAATGAACCCGTTTGCGCAGGAAAGCCTCGTACAGCGCAGGAAATCCTTGGAGAGCTCTGGATGTTGGGGCGTGAGGAGGAGAATGATGCTTGTGAGGAGCAACGAAGCCCTGACTCTGCAGGTAGCATGGCGACAACGCGATTGAGCGTATCTCCCGGCCATGGCGGAAGAGGCTATCAAGGAGAATTATCTAGATCGGGTCGGAAGCTACTCATAGCTTCGAAAACCATTTGCAGGCCACTTTCAGATGAGAGGATTCTTCACTTGCGACGGCTGGTTTGGTCGCTAGTAAACAAGCGATTGCCGCCATGAAATCGTCGCATTCGCATCAGGCGACGCACTGGTGCGACTGAACGGACACGGCGAATCGTTGCGACAGAGAAGACGCAGGACGGGCGATCAGCGGATTGAACTAGCGTTGAAACAAGCTTTGCGCACAAGCTTCGAAAGGAATGAGAAACATTGAGAATTGCGTTGATAGGTGCTGCTCGGTGTACGCGTAATTGATAGGTGGGTGCGGCGGGGGGGAGAGCTTTGCAATCAAGCTGGCCGACATGACAGGTTGGAGATTCGCTCCTGTTCGGTGAAAGCGGTTCGAAGCGATGCTGTGCGGTCCAATAAATTACCGCTTTCAACCGTCTCTTACCTTCTTGAACACTGATACGTGAAGTGCAAACAGATTTTGACGTTCTTGTTACGCTTTCCTGAGGAATGGTTGGTTGATAGTCGTCACAACAACCGCACGTGGTTGGTGGACAATCACCTTCCCACTCGATTTCTCCAGAACATCTCTTATACACTACTTTCTGTGTCTTCTTATCTTGAAACTAAATCTTTGCACGATGTTTCTACCTGTAAGGAAAATCCCTTTTCCTTACTTCGCATCCCTGCTCAACGCGTACATCACTGTAGCACCTCAGTCAGCACCGTTACCACTCGCGATCATCGCATCGACAATCATCCCGCCATTTTCGCACATCGCATCCCGACCTCACGGCTCGGCGGGTAACCCGCGCTCCAGGCCTACGCTTAGACATTTTCCCAACCTCAGTCCCACGCTCGTCGCGCGACAACCACAGTCCATTACCGTTACCACTGTAGCTTCGCTATATATTCTTTGCTCATGCCTTCGCTCATTGCATTCTTGCTTCGATAGTGCAATCCTCGTTCGCTCACTCAATTGCACTCGTAACACTTGGTATTCAGAGCCTACAATCTCATCTCGGACCGCATCCACACCTTCGCTTCCCCACTATCTCCATTTTTTGGGGGGATAGACGTCTCTCAGCGACACAGCACCGCCGCTCGTAGTGCTCTCTCGTAAGCACGCACGGCCACGACCGAGGCTATCGCTGAGTTTGCCCGACACCCCCGCCATGGCCGATTTCACGCTCGCCACATTGACGCAGGAGCAGCTTGATCGTCTCGTGCGTCAGCTGGAAGAATCGGCGCTCGAAATCGCGACGCTCACGGCGGAACGTAACTCCGCCCGTCAACAGTCCACGGTGAACATTCCGGCGACATCACACGCACCAACAAATGCATCTGCACAATCGGACGAGCCGATCATCATCTCGTCCGGCACACCAACACAACACGACAGCATGGGACAACGCTCAGGCGCAGCCAGTGACGGCGTCGCCCAGCCGATGCCTGGCATGGGAAGAGGCAGGATCGCACCAAGCCCGCGGGAGCCCCGGGAAGCCCGTCGGCACGTGGAGTTTGCGACGACAAGTGGCGAACAGGCCATCATGGCACCAATGCCGCTCAAGCCACAACGCCCACCCTGCTTCGACCCAAGCCAACGCGGGGGTCCGACGGTTCAATCGTGGGTCTTCACGATGAATGTTTTCTTCGACGCAAACTACGTCGAGTCGGACGCCGCGAAGATTCGGTGTGCAGTTTCGCTGCTAAGGGGCCCCGCCATGGACTGGTGGCGAGTCATCGTGACGTCGCCACGCGCCTACGAGCCACCGTCGCACGAGGAAGGGCCCACGGGTCCAGCTGTCACCTGGAGTTCGTTCTGCGAGACCGCCCAATACAGCACGTGGGATGCGTGGTGCGCAGGGCTTCGGGCGCGCTTCGAGCCGATCGCGGCTTCGATTTCGGCGCGTTAGAGACTACGCACTTGGCGCCAGCTCGGGTCGGTTCAAGACTACACAAGCGACTTTCTCGCACTTTGCGAGCAGGTCGGCTACATGCACGAAGCGGAGCGGGTGGACCGTTACGTCGGAGGGCTGAAGCCGGATATCTCGCACGAAATAATGCTGCGCGGACTCTCAAATTTCAACGAGATTCTCGCGCTCGCCGAGAAAATCGACATCCTACGCCGACCGAGACCGGGGTCCTACTACGGACATCGTCCTTGGGGACCGACCGAGCACGCCACTGTACACGCCGTTGCGACGAATGCAGCTGCCGCACCGTTTAAGGGGCGCTGCTTTGCTTGCAACAGGCCGGGCCACCGCAAGAGCGAGTGCCCAGAGGAGCTGAGGCGTCGCGGAGCAGAGCAGGGGAGGGAGTCTCAGAGGCAGGGAAACGCCAGCAGTCAGTAGAAGTTGGGCCAACTACTGACGAGATTGCCTGCTCGCCCAACCACACCGACCCTCACCGAGTCACAGTACCGATTCACGCCATCGATCGGGCTCGGATGAATAAGGAGGGTACAGCGACGGATAGCCCAGTACTGATCTACGGGAAAATACAGGGAGCAGCAGTCAGGATTTTTATTGACGGAGGAGCAAGCCACAGTTTAGTTAATACCGCGACCGCACGGAAACTGCAGTTAACACTTAACCGTTGCTTACCTGAGATAGACGCGCGCTTAGTCGACGGCACGCCACTGGCCATACGGGAAAAGGTGGAGCGGGTAAAAGTCCGCTGCGGGGGGAACTTCGGATTTACACAGGAAATGCTTGCAACGACACTGGATGGGCACGACATTTTATTGGGACGTGATTGGCTGCGACGGTATAACCCGCGAATCGACTGGACGACGGGTAGCTGCACCGTGCGAAGTAATGGTAACTGGGTCGAATTACCTCGCTGGGAGTTGCCCGAGTCTTCAACGGTCCACGTCAACGCCATCACGATGAAACGGGTTGTCGCCGCGGGAGCTGACGTGTACGCAGTAGATATAACATTAGTAGGAAAAGAGGAGCAGCCGAGCGATTTCCAGAAACTGTTGGCAGCAGTACCGCCCGAACTTCGGGAACTGTTGAAACGGTACTCGGGGATTTTTCCCGATGACTTACCACAAGGGCTGCCACCTCAGCGGGCACATGACCATAGGATCGAGTTAGAGCCGGGGGCACAGCCAAATGTACAGCGCCAGTTCAGACTGACAGAGCCCGAGCTCAACAAACTAAGGAAGCAGTTAGATTACCTATTAGAGAAGAAGTTTATCCAACCAAGCTTGTCACCGTTCGCCGCACCGATACTGTTCACACCGAAAAAAGACGGAGGATTTCGCATGTGCATTGATTACCGAGCGCTCAACAGAGTAACAGTCAGATCACGGTACCCCATCCCCCGCGCCGACGAATTGATCGACCAGCTGCGAACAACACAGGTATTTTCGAAAATAGACTTACGGGGGGGTTACCACCAGATTCGGGTCGAACCATCGGACTGCGCCAAAACAGCATTTAGAACTAGGTACGAGTCATTCGAATACACGGTGATGCCTTTCGGGCTGACAAACGCACCCGCAACATTTCAGTTGACCATGAACGAGGTGTTTAGGCCCCTTTTAGATAAATGCGTGATAGTCTACCTCGACGACATCCACGTTTACAGTCGCGACAAGCAGCAGCACTTAGTCGATCTCGAAGCAATTTTTAAAATTTTAGCAGAACATCGATTACTCACCAAGGGCTCCAAGTGCGAGTTTTTTCGGGACAGGCTAGAATTTCTAGGACACGTTATTTCGGAGGCTGGGGTTGAAATCGACCCTAAGAAGCTGGATACTGTCAAAGCGTGGCGTCCCCCGACGAACATCACGGAACTGCAGAGTTTTTTAGGGTTCGTTAATTACGTCCGTCGGTTCGTCCCCGACATGGCGCGCTTAACAGCCCCGCTCACGGATTTACTGCGTAAGGGGGTCGCTTTTACGTGGGGGG